ATGATTGAACCTGTCAATAGCCACTGCACTCCAGCCTGGGCAACATAGCAAGACACCATCTCTCACAAAAGAAATGAGTTACTGTCAAGGGCTAATTTGGGATGAACATTTTACTCTTTGAAATGAAAATTAGGGAATTTCAGTGTTTAGTAAGCCCTTGTTTAAAAAAATATTTAAAGAATAAAACATTACTGATTTGGATATAAGGAAAATAGAATGAAAGTACAGATACATCTATTTTAAAAAATTATGGGAACATTTGAATGATATAACAAAATCATGAAAAATGCACCGAAATTCCTTTTTGCCATCTTTCCATCATTTCACTTCTGCCATAGTTAGGTTTGTTCAACAAAAGTATTTTATCTATATTTTGATACTTAGTGGCTATATGCCAGGATTCCTGGATTTGAATTCTAGCCTCTCCATTTACTTGTATGATTTTGGGCAAGGTATTTCACCTTTCCATACCTTAGTTACTCTGTGTACAATGTAGATAATAATGACATCTTCAGGTTGTTTTGAGAATTGAGGACTAAATGGATAAACTCAGAACTTTAGATTAGTGTTTCATTTTAGCCATTTTTAGAGTCTCCTTTAGTAAAATGTTACTTTAGAAATACTGGTTTTAGATACGGGGCAAAACATCCCTAACTGTTCTCAATAAAAACCTCGTAAGAAAACGTTCACTGTTGTAGACTTGTTCAGATCACTTGCAACACTAAGTTTTTGTGAATAGTAATGAGGCTGTCATGACTTGCCTGTTATATTTCTCTAATAATTTAGTCAACATAACTATTAGATTTTATATTAAGAAAATGTTTTAAAAATGTTGAGCTCTCAATTTTAGGTTTTCCATCGTGGTAAATATATTTCTCTGGAATCTTACAAATAGGAATATTGGAATACTTTTTTAAAATCTCTTGATTTGGGGGCTATTTGGGTGGTTTAGAAAATTGGCCTTTTTCTACAATCAAGTGAATCCATTTTCATCGGCTTCCAGAGCAGAAATAAACTGTCTCTTGTCTATACATGTGATGAACCTGAGTCATTGGTTAGAACAGAGTCTGCTTTTCCTAGGCAGACTCAAGCACTGAATCACAAGTGTTTAAAAGAAGATAGCACGCCGAGCACTGCCAGCGAGCACTTTCCCTGGGTGAGAATAGCTACAGGACAGCCTAGTAGAAAGACTGCAATTTTAGAGTCAGCCCAGCTTAGGACCTGGCGCTGTCATTTACTAGCACTGTGATCTTGCACAAAATCCTTACCTGCTCTGTGCCTGTTTCCTCAACTAAAATGAGAACAACAATGTTATCTACCTCATAGAGTTGTTGTGAAGACTAAATAAATACATCTTAACTGCTAGAACGGTGCCTGAAACAGTGAGCACTCAATAAACATTAGCCATTATTATAGATCACTATTGACACTGCTAATGTCTTTGCCTTAATTATGGAATGGTCTTACACAAAGGAATATTGTTTGCAATGATTCTTCTCGTGAGAATTATAATGTCTGTGTGCAGCCACAATCTGTAAAAAGTAGCTAACGAGTTTTTGGGAGAGCGGTTTTTTAAAACCACCCCCAATACATTTCCATCAGCAAAAATGGGCTTTCTCCCAACAGTTCTCAAAGAAGTGTATGTTCGTGTGTGTGTGTGTGTGTGTGTGTGTGTGTGTAACAAACAGAGTAAGGAGGAGAGCTGGGAAAAACTGCCCAGATGAAAGTCTTGGTTAAAAATTCTTAAAATTGGGCCAGGCGTGTGGTTCACACCTGGAATCCTAGCACTCTGGGAGGCCAAGGCAGGTGGATTGCCTGAGCTCAGGTGTTTGAGACCAGCCTGAGCAAAAGTGAGACCCCTACCTCTACTAAAAATAGAAAAACTAGCAGAGCAATATGGTGGTCCCTATAGTCTCAGCTCCTTAGGAGTCTGAGGCAGGAAGATTGCTTGAACCCCAGAGTTTGAGG